GTGATGAACCTCTATTCTGCCAAAAACTTCCGTGGGGAATGATAAACTTCACCAAATGTGGCCACCATGCCCTTCTATCTAGCATGGATGATGAAAACGACCGTGGTAGAAATTGCCAACTCCCATTGCTTGATCCCCGTCGCTGCGCCCCGTACCGTGAGACTAAGTACCGGGCCCCTGCCGTCTTCACTTGATGAGTAACCAATAACCAGCACTGCATTTTCCGCAACTGCTTCTTACCCTTTCACACCATCACCTTCTTCACCCATTCTTCCATCAACAACTGCTACATCATCTCCACTAGCCGCATCTGTTCGAGAAGAGCATGTTCCTCCTCCCTAGTCCCCAGTTCATAGCAATTTGGGGCAAAATTATGCCGCCCCATCAGAAGATCCGCAAAGGAGGAGGAGCGTTACTCTCTCGGTCTCTACCGGGTGCAACCTGTTATCCCAGCTGGTGGAACTTGCTAACTATCTGAAGCCTTTTGCTTCAGAAAAAGATTGGGAAAAGATACAGGCTCTCTCGGGAGAGTGCTTGTTGAATAATGCCATGCACAACGCCGCAGCGGTATATTGTTCTTTTCCTTTGTTATTTCTTCTATCTTTGATTTAGTATTATTTTTGAATTAGCTTTTCATGTTTCGCAGGTCAATTTCCTTGCTTCTGAGGGCCTTCAGAGGTTGATTCGGGAAAAGGAGGAACTTACCTCCGAGCAGGATCCACTTTTGGTCGAGCGAGACCAAACCGCTACTCGCCTCTCAGAACTAGAAACTAAAGCTGTTAGGGCTATTGTGTTGGAGACTCGTTTGCAGCAAAGCGAGCAAGAAGTAGAAACCCTTAGCCAAGAGATTGCCCTGCCGAGGGTTCAATTTAAAGAGGCTAGGGCCAAATGGGTTGAAGTTCATAGTGTCATTCTTGCTGCATCAGATCGCGAGGCTGCCTTCGCTGAAAGATTGACCAAATTGGAGGCATCGTCTAACTCAAAACCCGAAGAGTTTATTGTTGCTAGGGTGAAATATGCCCAGTTGGAGGAGAAGTACAAGAGGACTATCGATTATAACAGACTTTTCAGTTCTACTGTCCGCGATCTCGATGTTAGCCTCCGGTCCATGAGGTCCGCGTAAGAGAATCTTTCTGCCAAGGTTGAGCAACTTAAAGAAGAGCTTCAGCGCCGAGCGGCTTTCCTCATAATTGAGAAAATGCATTCCATGCTTAGTATGAGGAGAGAAACCTTGGAAGAGGCTAAAGCGGGTGTCAGAGATTTTGGTGCCGAAATTGCTAAGGCCCTTGAGTTGGAGTTAGATGCAAAGAGGTCTTCCAGTCAGGCCTGATGCTACCGATTCTTCTGGTTCCGGTTCTAAGTTCTCGTGAACTGGAGAGGAGCCGTAAGGTGATGATGTTGAGGTCCAAGGTGATGATGGCCAAGATATCGAACCGGCAGCGAATCTACCTACTTCTTCTAGGGGCGCATATGCTTCTCTTCCTCTGGGTTGCGGAGATGCAGCAGTTTAACTTTTCCCTTCTTTTCCCAACTTTCGTACCTGTGCCGTTTTGGAACATTTATTGTGAATAAAAACATCTTTTGCTCAAGTATTGCATGAGTCTTTCTGCATTCTTTTGTTTGAACATTTATGCAAGTTTTAATCTTTGCATTCTTTTTTGCTTAAGTGTTTTGCGCAAGTTTTGCTATTTGCGTCTAGTTATGTAAGCTATTGGTGTATTTTTCCCCAAAAGCATTTAGATTTCGAGCACAAGTTCTTCCGAAATCAGCCCTTTATCGTGAGGGTTCCTATAAGAGAGGGCCCTCTTATGTTTACGGTGGTCTTGAAGAGGACATCTCTTATTCATTAAAGCACTAGCATTTGAAGTGTTGTTTAACTTTCAGATGACAAAATCAATTCATCTCTCAGACAATAAACAAGATAGAAATAAAGAAACTTTACTTTATTCCTTTCATTTTCAAAAAGTACATGAGCATTCACTATGCTAAAAAGAGATTGCCATTTCTTGTGGCTAACTTGTACAACTTGTTTCTACGGGGCTGGCCGCACAGTCCCCGATCTCGATGATACAGCTATGTTTTTGGTTTTCGTTTTCAAGTCAATGTGGCAGTCATTGTTTCCGTATCCTCATATCATTCTCCCCTAGTGTTCGAATGCGAAGGAAGTGAATCAGAATACTAGAAGTTTTGCATCTTCGAGGATTACACTAAATAATTTATTACACTAAATAATTTCTTGATGACCTTCAGTTTGGTAACAAACTTCACTTCCCCTTAGGAATTTATGATATCGATCCAAAGACTATCTAACAATCCCCTAGTGGTTTGCACTTTTGTACGGTCGGGTAACCTTTGCTTGATAGCAAACTTAATTTCCCACTGGGAATTTTGCTATCGAGCAAAATATTATCTAACCGTTCCGAAGTGGTTCTTCGCTTGCGTGTCTTGCTATTTGTAAGGCCCCGTGAAAATTTCTACTCAAAACCCGAGAGCTCGTAGTGCCAAGTTAGGAATACGTGTTAGAAATTTGTAGAATTCTTCGCGGCGAGCTTGCGATCCACGGTTCGGACCTTTTGGACTGATCTATGCATTAAAAGTTGAGGAATAATGTTTTCTAGAAAAGTGCATTTATGCGGTCCATTATGCGGTCGCATAATAGCTATGCGGACCGCATAATCGCCGCAGAGTCAGTCAGTTTGATGGTAATTTTGAGGTCAACTATGCGATCGCATAACCAATATGCGGGCCGCATAGTCATCGCATAATCCCTTGGAATTTTGCGAGGGGTAGTTCTGCGATGCGACCGCAGAACAGGTATGCGGACCGCATTTCTGTCGCATACTCGGGCAGTTTGCTCAGGTTCTTGAAGCCATTTTTGCGGTCCATTTTGCGGGCCGCATGTCAATTATGCGATCGCATATGCGACTGCAGATCTGAGTCGGGGCTCCAGATTTTTAAATTTTAAACCCGACCCCCTGTCGTTATATCTTATGCAATGGCTCATTTTGAGCCTATTTCCTGGTGCTTTTAGAGTGAGAAAGAGGATCTAAGAGAGAGGAAGTGCCTTTCATAAAAAATTGCTCCACAAATTCTTGTTAAAACATTGAAGATATTCAAGTGAGGCACCTAAATCTTCATCCCAGGAGGTAAGACTTCATCACCTCAGCTCTTAATTTTAAACATAGCTATAAGGGGTCAGTAGTGGGGTAATTCTTGGGGGTAAGGGTGATTACATGGCATGCATGTGTTCTTAGAAGATATGAGGAAATTATAAATAGAGAGGCATGGGGAACGGGTTGGTGTAATCTTGCATAAAAGGACCGTAAGCCCTTAATGAACACTCAATGCTTGATAAAATGCTCAAGTGAGCTAAGATTATGATCTTTTCCTGATTATGGGTTCAATTGTGCTACAATGCTTAAATAGATTGAAGTTGCGAACATTCCGAAACATTATAGGATTAAGGAAAGCTAAATTAAGGTATGTATGGCTAAAACCCCGTCTTTTTAGAAATTGAGCTCCGTTGGTGTTCGTGTAAATGCGGTAAGATTAAAGTTGGATTGTTGTATTGATTGTTATTTCACATGAATTGGTGTTACAACTTTATATACGTGAAATGCGTGTCTCAATATGATCAATGTGCTATTCTTGATAACTTGAAAAGGTGCGAAGAATATGAATCATGTATTGAAATGCTATTATTGAAGTTGCGTTTGTTGTGCCATCTATGTGAAGTTTTATCTATGCTTACAATCTAAATTGCTCTTGTGTGCACCTATTATCCTAAATTGCAAAGCTAACATTGAAATTGGGAATGATGTGAAATGTGGCCTAGTGCCAAAAATGATGTGATAATTGTGGCCCCAAGTGCCTATGAAATGATATATGTGAAACGAGATGATTAATGAGAAGGGAACAACGCCTTGGTAAGGCGACCTAGTCGATCAGGCCGAGATCAGATGCCATGCCGCACACATGGTGCTATTTTGCTGATATTGAATTCCGGAAAAAGGAAACTAAGATTTGTGATTGAGGTATATGTCTCAAATGAGGCAACCTAGCCGATCGGGTCGACATCGGACTCCACTCAAGATAGCAGTGGTATTGTAAAAATGATGAAAAGTATGAAATGCCCCAAACTAAAAGCAATGGAAAATTTTGTGAAAGTTGTATGATCTTTTATTTGATGATATGGTGATCGTACTAAGCTTTCGAATTGTACTTGTGATTTCCTTATTCTTGTATGAAATTTCTTTCTAACTAAATGGTGTTTAGTTATACATACTAGTACTATTCCATGGTATTAACGTCCTTTTTGCCGAGGGCGCTTCATTTTTAAATGAATGTAGGTGGCTCTATAGCGGACAATGCCGATCGCGCGTAGCGGAGTGTCCTCCTCTCGAAGTCTTGGTGAGCCCCTTTTTCCTTCAAGGGGTTATGATGTACATCTTTTGTTGTAGACTTCCACTTTTGAGGTATAGACGGGGCCTTGTTGCCGGCATTGTCATAATTCGTCTTTTGTATCCATAGAGGCTCCGTAGACGTTTGTGTGGGTTATATATGGGTGTTGGATGGGTTAATGAGCTGTGTTGTAACTCTATACTCTAGTTCATCTAAACTATAACTGTATGAAATCTTGGAAACTTATCCATGATTTAAGGTTTGTGATATAAAAATGAACTATCAATGTTGAATGTTCGAGTTTGCATGGTTTTATTAATCGTATTGAGTTGGGTTGAAAGTGTTAATAAGGCTTGCTCAGTTGGGTTCACTCGATTGAGCGCCGGTCGCGCCTCCCGAGGTTGGGGCGTGACACTATTAAAGGTCTTATTTCTGCTGTTGAAACCTTCTTTGTAGTTTGCTTTCCGTTGATGCCTCGTTAAATACCTCACGAGAAAAACTCAATTGGGACAAAAACTGAACGAAGGGAAAAGTGCTGCACATACTTTCAGTACAAGTGATGTTCATCAGCAATAATATCTCTTGAGGTGTGTCACATTCTAGTGGCTTGGCAACGTTTCTCCGTTCTGATTCTCCAACTCATACGAACCATTCCCGGTGACAGCTGAAACCCGGTAGGGGCCTTCCCAGGTTGGACCTTGCTTCCCTGCATTGAGTTCCCGGGTGTTTTGAGTTACTCTCCATAGAATCAATCTCCTACTTTGAAATAACGGAGGTTGGCTCTTCAATTATAATAACCTTCCATTCTCTTGTTTTGGGCTACCATTCTTATATGCACCAAGTCCCTGCGTTCATCGAGTAGCTCCAAGTTGATTAACATTGCTTCATTGTTTGTCTCTTCATTTGCTTGGAAATATCTCAAGGTGGGATCCCCTACTTCCACCTGGATTAAGGGTTCTGATCCGTACACAAGGGAAAAAGGAGTTTCTCCTGTGCTTGATTTGGCCGTTGTTCGGTACGCCCATTTACTTTGGCCGCTTCCAACCACTTCTTGAGATTCTGTATAATCACTTTGTTCGTTGATTCCGCTTGACCATTTGCGCTTGGATGATAGGGCGAAGATTTGATTCTTTTGATTTTCAAGTCTTTAAGAAACTTTGTGAGCTTTGCGCCTATAAATTGTGGCCCGTTATCGCAGGCTATCTCTTTTGGCATTCCAAATTTGCAAATTATGTCCTCCCGCAAGAAATCCACCACCTCACGTTCGCCGATCTTCTGATAAGGACCTACTTCAACCCACTAAGAAATAGTCAGTTAAAATTAAAATAAATCTTACCTTACCAAAGGCCGGCGGTAGTGGTCCGACGATATCCATTCCCAATTCGTAAACGGCCATGGAGATAGAACTGAGTGTAATAGTTATGCTGGTTGATGTACCAATGGTGCGTAGCGTTGACACTCATCGCATTTTTGCACGAAAGCTTTGGCGTCTTGTTCCGTTCAAGACCAATTGTATCCTTTCCTTATCAATTTTAATTATAAGGAATCTGCGCCCGAATGATTTCCACATATCCCTTCATGGACTTCTCGCATAACATAGTTAGCTTCAGAGGCTCCTAAGCATCGGGCCAGCGGGCCTTGAAAGGATTTCCTGTATAGTTGGCCTCCTTTGAAGCTATACTGTGTTGCTTTGGCACGCAGCGCCCGAGATGCCTTGGAGTCTTCATGCAATTTCCCGTGTTCGAGATAATCAATGATCTCATTCCTCCAGTCCTAGACCAAATTGGTCGTATTTATCTCATAGTAGCTATCCGCATCCAGAACCGAGTGCATGATTTGCAATACCGTCCCGAAATCTGATCCCTTCACTTCCGTTGATGAACCGAGGTTAGCTAGTGCATCCTCTTCTGCGTTTTCTTCCCTTGGGATATGCGTAATTGACCACTCCTGAAATCGAGCAAGCAGAGCCTGAACCTTCACCACGTATTGTTGCATGCGCTCCTCTTTGGTTTCAAAGATCATGTAGACCTGATTTACCACCAGCTGGGAGTCACATTTTACTTCTATGACCTCGGAATCTAGTCCTCGGGCCAATTCGAGTCCTGCAATCAAAGCTTCATACTCTACTTCGTTGTTAGTCAAAGGGACTGTTCTTATGGCCTGCCTTAGGGTTTCTCCCGAAGGTGTAGTTAATATTATGCCAAGCCCGGACCTCTTTACGTTGGAAGAACCGTCCATAAATAAGGTCCAAACTCCCGATGTCGATTCTGACACCATCACTGCTTCTTAGGTTGCCAAAGGCAACAATCCCGGACTAAAATCAGCCACAAAGTCAGTTAACACTTGTGACATAATCGCAGTCCTAGGTTTATACTCTATGTAGAATTCATTCATTTCAGCGGCCCATTTGGCCAATCTACCCTAGAGTGAATAGGATATTCCGCAGGGGAAAGGTTCTCACCACAACTATTGGGTGACATTGGAAGTAAGGCCTCAGCTTTCGAGCGGCAGCTATGAGAGCTAAGGCCAGCTTCTCCAAATGCAGGTAGCGAGTTTCCGCTTCCATTAAAATTCTACTAACATAACAAATGGGAGATTGCATACCTTCGTCCTTATCGACTAAAACGGCACTTACTGCTACCTCCGAGACTGCTAGGTAGATTAACAATTTTTCACCTTCCTCCAGCTTGGATACTAACGGAGGGCTTGACAAGTACCTTTTCAAATCTCTCAAAGCCTGCTGGCAATCTGGGGTCCATTCGAAGTTGTTTTTCTTTTTGAGTAGCGCGAAGAAATGGTGGCATTTCTTTGATGATCAGGAAATGAACCTTCTCAAAGCGGCCAATCTCCCTGTGAACCTTTTAACTTCTTTCATGCTTGATAGCTGATCCGGGATGTCTTCGATGTCTTTGATCTTATTGGGATTTACCTCAATCCCCCTTTGTGATACCAGAAATCCTAGGAACTTGTTAGAGCTGACCTTGAACGCGCACTTCTCGGGGTTAAGCTTCATGTTATGCTTCCTTAAGATGTCAAAAGTTTCTTGCAAATTCTTAAGGTGATCACATGTGTTCAAAGACTTAACAAGAATATCGACTATATAAACTTCCGTGGTTTTCCCTATCTGGTTTTCAAACATATTGTTTACGATCCATTGATAAGTGATTCCGGTGTTCTTTAGCCCGAAGGGCATCGCATTATAGCAATATGTGTCGTAATTCGTTATGAACGAATTTTTTTCCTGATCCTCCGGGTTCCTCTTAATTTGGTTGTACCCGGAATAAGCATCAGGGAAACTCATTAACGCATGCTCGGTCGTTGATCAATCATTTGATCGATGTTTGGCAGTGGGAATGAGTCCTTTGGGCACTCCTTATTCAAGTCCTTATAATCTACGAACAAGCAAAATTTATTTTCTTCTTAGGCACTACTACTACGTTAGCTTGCTAGTCGGGATACTTTACCTCTCGGATCGAACCGATATCAAGTAGGCAAGTTACCTCTTCTTTGATGAATTTATTCCTGGCCTTCATAATAGGGCATTTCTTTTGACTTACCGGAGGGATTCTTGGATCCAAGCTTAATTTGTGTACGGCCACATCCGTTGGGATACCTGTCATATCTGTATGCGAACACGCAAAACAATCGGTATTATACTTAAGAAATTCAATGAATTCATACCTGAGCTCATGATACAGTCCTGTCCCCAAGTGGAATTTCCTCTCCAATAAGAGCTTTTCAAGTAATGCAACTTGTTCGAGCTCTTCCGATGTGGACTTCGTTGCATCTGTCTCTTCTAGTACCTGGAAATATCTTGGCACCTCATAAGAGTCCGACGCTTCTTCCCCCTGGTTAACTTCACTTGATTCGGGAGTAGGCACCGGTTCCTGTAATTGCTATGCCGCATGCTCCTTCCCTTTGTTACTAGAGACCGAAATCACATTCATCTCCCTTGCTGTCGGTTGATAGCCTTTTATCTGTTTGATCCCTTCAGGAGTTAGGAATTTCAGCAACTGATGATATGGCTCTCATCTTGTGCAACCACGGTCTTCCTAGAATAATGTTATAACCCGTATCACCATCCACAACCTCAAAAAGGGTTGTCTTCATCACCCCCCAGCATTTGTGGGCAGCAGGATCTCTCCTCGGGTCGTTACGCTTGCGAGGTTGAATTTGGCGAGGAGTTTTGTGGCCGGAATGATGCTTTTGGTAAGTTTGACTTGCTCCAATACTCTCCATTGTATGATATTAGCCGAACTTCCTAGATCCACCAAAACACGTTTGATTTTAAAATCTAATAGATTTAAAAAATTACCAGTGCATCATGTGCGGTAGCAACAATCCGTCTGCATCTTCCTGCTTAAAAGTGATGCCGTCCTCAGCGACGTCCCGGAGCCTCTTGTCGTGGGTTACTGTTACCTTTGTCCTTTTTTTGCTACCGTGAAAGTAACTTCGTTAATCTTGTTCACCCCAAAAATCATGTTGATCGTCTGGTGTTGGGGATCTTCTCCTATTGTTCTTGGCCCGGTCACTTAAGAATTCCTTGAGATGGCCATTTTTTTTAGTAACGTCTCCACCTCTTCACGCAGATGAAGGCAGTCTCCAGTCCGGTGGCCATTCGTCCCGTGGTATTCGTACCACAAGTTAGGGTCCCTCTGGCTGGGATTGGACGTCATCGGCTTCGGGAACCGTGCTTTTTTAATGTTCCTTATAGCCGATATATACTCTACTACACTGACATTGAGTTGTATTCTGATAGTCTAGATAGGAAGGATCCCGATAACCTGACGTTTCTTTGTCTTTCAATGATCTGTTGTTCCGGCCGTGATCAATTCTTCTGTTGGTAACGAACCTATCTGTCGACCGGAAATCTCTGTCGCGTTCTTCGGCCCGTTCGTAGGGAAAAAACTAGCCCCTCGAAAACCGTCTATCTGTGTCAAAATCCTCTTTTGATTTTTCTTTATTCTTCTCTCGACCTTTTGGCGATGCCGGAAAGCTAATTTGATCATTTTCAATCCTTATCTTGACTCGTACCGGTTGTGAACATCCGCCCAAGTCGTTGCTTGGAACTCAATCAAGTTTTCCTTCACTTTTCGGGAAGCATCAGAACTTCTCGAATTTAGAACCTTGGTGAATGCTTCAGCCGCCCATTCATCCAGAACAGCCGGGAGCAACATTTCTTCCCTTCGGAACCGGGTGACGAATTCCCGTAGCAACTCGGACTCTCCTTGTGCAATTCTGAATATGTCGGCCTTTCAGGCCTGCACCTTTCTAGCCCCGGCATGGGCCTTAATAAAAGAATCCGCAAGCATCTCCAAGAAATGTATGGAATGCTCGGGCAATAGCGAATACCACGTCAAGGCTCCCCTCGTGAGAGTCTCTCCGAACTTCTTTAGTAAAATAGATTCAATCTCATGGAGAGCTAAATCGTTCCCTTTTACTGCCATTGTGTAGGTTGTAATGTGCTCCTGAGGTCCGAAGTACCATCAGATTTTGGCACATCGGGTATTTTAAACTGCTTCGGGATTTATTCTGGTGTCGCACTTGGTTTGCAAGACAACTGAGTATACTTTTTTGAGTCCGGCCCTTTCGGCACCTGCGGTGCACCTGAGATTTGATCCATGCGGGCGTTCACTTCCCTCATAAACCGTAAGCGTTCGCTTTTAAAGGGATCGCTCTCGTTGTTATGACCGAACCCGCTCCCCCCGGTCCATCAAAGCTGACCTCGCCACTCGGGATGTTGTTTTCGACCCTCTGTGTAGTTTGATTTGCACGAGCACCGGGAGGAACTGGACCTCGTCCATTCGCGTTATTGGAAGCACCCGAAAACGCCTGTTTTAGCTTTGTCATGACCTTATCATGTGGTGTGAGATGGCCTAGAATGACCTCTTGTTGCTCCTGTAGAACCTTTACTGCTTACCCTAAATGCTCCTCTTTAGAATCATCAGGGGTTGCCTCCTGAACATGACGCGAGTACCATCTGCTGTGGATCGGCGTGACATCACTCCCCTCATTGCGGGTATCGCTGATTGAATTCGCACGCTAAGGCAGGTCTCCTTGGGCCTCAAGATTGTGTGTGTTGTAACACCATTATTTGCTATTTTTTGTGATTTTTGCTAAGAACAAATTATCAAAACACGTTAGTAAATGAGGCAAGGATCAACTTAATTACACGACTGTCTAGGCCCCACGGTGGGTGCCAAACTGTTTACCCGTAAAACGGTACAGTTGAATTTAAACGTGGTTTCTAGACAAGTGAATTAATTTGATCCTGAAATGGTAAAAAAATTGAAGAAATATGTAGTAGTTCCGGGAGCAAGGTTTTCGGGCTTAACAACAACGAAATAAAAAAGTAAGAAGGTAAAGTTGCATAAAGCTTTGAATAGATCATAGCATAAGTTTTCCAGAAAATTCCTCTCTTTACAATGATAACATAGCTTACTATTTATAGCTGCACCTAGGGAACAAGGTCTTAGGATCATGCCCCTCTTTAATATCAATTATGAGGGTCATTGATGAATGTGTAACGGCGGGCATGAATGACAAATTCTTTGTAACGGATAGTGTATTAAATGCTGCATAATATTCTTCATTAAACGCTATCGGGTGGGTCATTTATTGCATCTTTATGAGCATCATTTTTTCCAGTAACAAACGGAACAGTTGTCTTAAGTTTTAGCTACCCTCTGCCTCCGGTTCCATGTGTAATTCTCTTACGCAATTACTTAGTAAAGCATATTTTACCCTGTACATTAATATTAATATTTACTTGTTGTACAAGCCATCGATTCATATAGATATCCTTGCTAATTCAGATCAAATAAGTAATTCATAAAACTTTTATTTGAAACTTCGAAATATTCCATACTAAAGACCTTTTGCAAACCTTAGGAACAAGAAGCAGAAGTAAATCGCCAAAAGTCCAACACCAAGAGAGACATCCGGTTGCATGTTTCTCTTAGGCAAAATGACAAGAGCCCAGAGCAAACCTACCATAAGAAATCCCAAAGTTTCACAAAGGAAAGGATCTTTGGGAAGCACATAAGAAGCTGGATACTCCCACCATGATGCAAACACAAGGGAGACCCCCAAACCAATCAAAGTATTGAATAATGGGCCGGCGTAACAAGCCGAAATCGCCATTTGTTGCCCATCTTTTCCACCATTCAGTGCCATGGCAACGTTAGATATCAAATCCCCAGTTGAGTTACCCCAAGCTAGGACAGTGAGACCTAAAATTGAAGGGTTTATCCCTATAATATATCCAAATGAGACGAGCAAAGAAACCAATTCCTGTGCAAGAACATATGTCCATGTAATACTCATGAGAAACCCTCCAAGGAGCCAAATCAACAAGCATTCTTTTGGAGGGCGAGATTCTTTTGTGGACAAAAATGCAAGATTCCCTAGAATAAGCCCTACTAGAACTGATGTCATGCCAATGGCTAAGCTTGTCGGGGAATCCATGCCTTCACTTGAAACAGCTACTGCCAGAATTGGTGCCAATGTTGCTGAAATTACAGCCATTGGCTTGGACCACTTGTCCTCACTAACGACAGGGATGGTCAGCCTTCTTGGCAAGTAAAGGGGAAAATCCAAAACACCAAGAAAACAATTTATGAACTTGCAGAAAGATGAGGAGGTACCAAAAATAGAGGAATTTATTACTTCAGTTTGTTTCTCATTAGGACATAATTCAGAACACTTTTCCTCATCAACACACCCTAACAATGCAACCCCAATCTCGTTATCCAGTTCATCTTCTTTGTCCGTTGAATTCACATTTTCTACTGTTTCCTCCTTACTAAAGAAATGCATGGCGCAGACCACACAAATGTAAATGACATAAATAGATGAGAAACAAATCGCTATCCACAAATTTACCCTCCCGAAAACAATGATCCCAAGGAGACATGAGAGTGAAAAAATGATGAAAAGCACATCTCTAATGAAACTTGGCTTATCAATGGTTAGCCTATGGCTTGGCGATACGACTATACTTATGACTCCCACAACGACACAAGACACGAAAAATGCACCACCTAAAACACTGTTAAGTCCAACGCCGTCACTGCTGGATCGAGTGAAGGAGATGATACTAGAGAAGACATCATTAGCACCATTTCCTAGAGGGAGAAGAGTGGTTCCAGCTATGGTAGGGGAAAGATTCATGACTTTGGATAAACCTTCAGCAGAAGGGCAGAAGTACTCAGCTGCTGTATTACCCAACAAATAAAACAGCAAAACAAGCCATAAAAGCAGAAGAGTGTACCCTAGTAGTGGAGACCAACCTAGGATGCAGTAGAAGAATTCGAGATAATTCACATACCCTTTTCCAGAGCATGAAGTGCTTGATTTTATGTAGGCACATTTAGATTGTGAATCAACTAGTTTGTATAAGTCAGAGCAGTCATTAATATTAGTTTTCGATAAATGGACGTGTGTTTGGGATTGGCTAAACCCATTGAAAGTGAGAGTGTAAAGCAAGATTACAAAGAGGAAAGAGGTGTTGAAAAATATAGAAAGAGCTGACCTGGGCTTGAAATGGAAAGGAAAAAAATCCATCAGAAAGTATGGAAGACAAGAAGAGCAGATCTACAAGAGATAAAATGGCCTCACCTTTATATGTTATTTTTAGCTAAACTAAATTAATTTATGTTAAGTTTGGGAAATTTAGTGTCCAAATGTGAACTTGATATATTCGCAACATGAAGCACACCACCAGCATAGGAGCGTGACATGAATTTTTCTTTTTTTACATTTAATTACTGTAAGTCATTGTAATTTAGTTTATTGTAATTAGTTATCTAAAAACTTGTCTTTGTATTTGTTTTTTCTATTCAGTCCTTTTGGGAACTTGAACTTGTATACTCAGTACTTGACATCACTAGTATATGTATTTTATACTTTCGTTCTTAGGACTGATATAGTCAGAAGACGTTTAGTTGGTCTTGTTTCTTGTCTTTTTAATTCAACCAGTAGTCGGACATGCGCGATGCGCGGTTATTTTAATTAAATTAAATGTGATCGGGCTTGTTTAAATATATTAGATCGTATTGTTTAATAAATTTCAATTATCGTCTTATTTGTCAATATGATATATACAATAATAAAATCTCTATTAAATTAAAGGGACTTATATAGTCATTGAATAACTTTTTTGTTCTATATTTTTGTTTATTCGAATAAAAAATATTTAGTATTTTTACATTGTTAATAGAATTTTTTATTAGCAAATTACTTTGTTTGTTTTTTTATAGCAAAATATTTTATTTTATTATTTTATAGATAATTCATAATCAATAACAAATTATTAACTACTTATACCATGTGGCTTTTTTATAGGCTACAACTTGGCTTAAGGAGAGGGTTTTTTCCTCTCCTTTTAATAATATATAGAAGATAGACATCAAATAACTTTTTTGTTCTGTATTTTTTTTTATTATATTATCCAATATTTAGTATTATATTGTTAATAGAAACTTTTATTAGCACATTACTTTATTTAAGTTATTGTTTGCTACTTTATTTTTATTATATAATAGAAGATATATTTTTTTTATTTTATATTTTATTCTATTATTCTCAATAATATTTTTTGAATAAACAAACTTTTTTGATTTATTAAAATAAAAAAATTATTTTATTTTATTTTAGTTTTTTTAAAAGAAAAAACTTTTTGGAAAACTTTTTGTTTTTTTTTAATTTTAGTCTTTTGAAAACTCCAACTTGAAACTACTATCCAATTAAATGGACAATTATTTTAAATTTTCGTTTTAATATAAAATATTTTATTTTATTATTTTATAGATATTTAAATTGAAAACCAATAGCCAATAACTAATTATTGACTAAATAACTAATTATAACTACTTATGCCATGTGATTTTTTTCTAGGCTGCCACTTGAATTGGTAATTTATTATTTCTTAATTTTGTTTTTTATATTAAAATAATTTTAAAACTCTAACTTGAAACTACTCCCCGATTTGGATGGGCAATTTTTCTTCTCTTATTTTTGTTTTTTTATTATAGCTAATTTTTTTTTTTTGCTTTTTTAATTTTAAAATAATTTTAAAAGAATAAAACTTGAAACTAGTCCCACCCAATTCTAACGGGTAGTTAATTTTTTATATATTCATATTTTTATTTTTTTAATATAGTTAATTATAAGATATCTATATTTATTAATTCAATATATATATATATATATATATATATATATATATATATATATATATATATATANTTTATTATTTTCGTTTTTTATATATATATATATATTTAAATTCAAAAATAATAACCAATAAATAATGATTAATTAAATAACTAATTAGTAACTAATTATGCCATATAGCTTTTTTTAGGCTGCCATTTGGCTTAAGACTTTTTAATAATATATAGGCTTTTTGTTTTTATTTCTAAAAAATATGGAAAAAATTTATTTTAAAAAACAAAGAAATTTGAATTGGAAGTTTTTTTTTTTTTAGTTTTTTATTTTAAAATAGTTTAAAAACTCCAACTTGAAACTACTCTCCAATTTGAGTGGAAAATTGTTTTTTAATTTATGTTTTTAATTATAAATTATTTATTTTATTGTTTTATAGATATTTAAATTGAAAATAAATAACCAATAACTAATTATTGACTAAATAACTAATTATAACTACGTTTGCCATATGGCTTTTTTCTAGGCTGCCACTTGAATTGGTTATTTATTATTTTTGAAAATTTGTTTTTTATATTAAAATTATTTTAAAACTCCAACTTGAAACTACTCCCCGATTTGAGTGGGTAGTTTTTCTTCGATTTTTTTCGTTTTTTTTATTATAGCTTATTTTAATTTTCTTTTTCTTTTTTGCTCTTTTATTTTAAAATAATTTAAAAATGACAACTTGAAACTACTCCCACCCAATTTGAATTCATAGTTAATTTCTTATATATTAATATTTTTGTTTTTTATTATTGTTAATTATAAGATATCTATATTTATTAATTCAAATAAAGTAACCAAATAATTAATATATATATATATATATATATATATATATATATATATATATATATATATATATATATATAAAAAAAATTTATTGTTATCGATATTATGTCGGTCAAATAAGGGAGGATTATGTGATGTCTGGTGGGATCGGGTTGCACGCCGCAATAACCTATATGTTGCATTTTCTTGAGCTGCGTTGTTTTTCCGGTACCCTTATTTGAACTGGTAGAGATTGGTAATTTTGGACAACACTAGTTTATTTTCGAGGTTATGGTTATCATTTCCTGTTGGCTGTTTAATTCTATATTGTATTTCAATTATTCTGTCATTATTATAGACTGCGTACAGGTTTTTGCGTAGGTGACCCGCCTTAGCCTCGTTACTACTTCATCGAGGTTAGGCTCAGCACTTACAAGTACATGGGGTTGGTTGTACTGATACTGCACTCTACACACTGTGCAGGTTTTGGAGATGGTCCCAACAGCGGCTACTAGAGAGCTCGAATCTGACAATCGTGGAGACTTGAGGCATGGTTATTCACCGCCGCAGCTCCTGGAATCCCCATCCTCTGTTTGTTTAGCTGTGAACTTTCATTCGAACATCTTGTTATTTATTTCAAACCCTTATGTGTATTACTCTAGAAGTTCGTACACTCGTGACACCAGGTTCAAGGAATTGTAATAGATATTTGGCCAGTTCAACTTCCGTGCTGTTACTTTAAGTTTATTCAGTTATCTAGTTCTTCTTTAATATCTAACTTAAACTATTAAAAGGAGTAGATTGTCCTAACGTTGGCTTGCCTAAAAGTGTAATGTTAGGCGCCATCACGGTCCCGATGGTGGGGAATCCGGGTCGTGACAAGTTGGTATCAGAGCACTAGGTTACATAGGTCTCATGAGTCACGAGAAAACTTAGTAGAGTCTGCCAGATCGGTACGGAGATGTCTGTACTTATCTTCCGGAGGCTATGGAGTTAGAAACAGTTTCATTTCTATTATTCTCTGACGTGCGATTTTATTCTATCATTGCTGATTGAACTCTTCTATTCTGTTCTCTCGCAGATGGCGAGAACGCGTACCACATCTTCAGCTGAGCAGCAGCCAGAGCCCCCAGCAGCAGCTCCTACAAGGGGCAGGGGTCGAGGTCGAGGTCATGCTAGAGGCCGAGGCAGGGGCAGAGCTCAGCCCCGAGCTCGAGCAGCAGCACCACCGGTGGAGCCTCAGGAAGAGTTTGATGAGGAGGTTCCAGCTCAGACTGTGTCTGTCGGGCCAGCTCAGGTCCCGGAGGGGTTCATCGCCACCCCAGTGCTTCAGGATACTTTAGTCCATCTAGTGGGCCTTATGGAGAGTGTTGCTCAGACCGGCACATTTTCTGTGGCACCAACCGTCTCTCGGGCTGGGGGAGGAGTCCAGACTCCCGCTACTCACACTCTGGAGCAGATGGCTCCCAATTTCAAACTCCAGCAGCCCAGCCGTGGAGGCAGTTTCGCCGGGTGTTGCAGCACAGATCGGTGATGGATCAGGTATGTCTTCTGAGGCTTTGTGGAGGTTGGATAGGTTTACAAAGCTTTTCCCAGTTCACTTCAGCGGTGCATCTTCGAAGGATCCCCATGACTATTTGGACAAGTGTCATGAGGTGTTACGGAACATAGGGATAGTGGAGACCAATGGGGTCGACTTTGCTGCATTTCATTTGTCGGGTTCCGCCAAGAAATGGTGGAGGGATTATATGTTGACCAGACCAGCTGGGTCGCCTGCTCTCTTACCTGGGACCAGTTCTCTCAGTTATTTCTTGGGAATTCCTTCCTATCACTAAGAG